ATTATTGCTGATACTAATCATGTTTTGTATTGGGAAGTTGGATACTTGAACGTGTAGTTCCCGGGCGTGTAGTAGACGAGCATAATCGTACTGTCACATGTTTTTCGTCTTAACCGTCGCAGTCCGCTTCATTGAATGTTTAGTATATTCAGTGTGAGACTATTGCTTTCAAGTTGTGTTAATACAAAGATGATTTAAACTTGTCCCTTCCGTTGCCAACGTATTCAATATACGGAAATAGCATGTGTGTGCGTTTGCGTGAGTGAAAGATGCAGGTGAGATTTCTCGTCGCAACGCGTTTTATTTATTTCCAACGCGCGTGGTCGGCGTCTTTGATTGCGTTTATTTTGTTCTTTCATTCTCGAAATCTATCACTGGCACCGTTTATTTTGTCATGTCTCACAACTGAATGTCCAAGCTCACTTTGTTTTGGCTGTAACATTAATTAATAGATAACATTGTTGAGTAATATTTTTTCTAATATCTTATAGGAATTGGAGTTGATGATATGTTTATTATGATAGTTGCTTGGAGGAAAACACCGTCGAAGTTCACCGTAGAAGAGCGAATGGGACATGCATATTCCGAGGCAGCCCTATCCATCACAATAACAAGCATTACAGATTTTCTGGCATTCTGTATTGGAGCCATTTCGTTCTTTCCTGCCGTGCAGATATTCTGTTTATACACCGGAGTCGCCGTACTTTTCGACTACCTCTACCAAATCACTTTCTTTGGGGCGTGCATGGCACTCTTCGGACGCCGTGAAGCTGCCAATCGTCACTGTTGCTCTTGCATGAAAGTGCTACCAAAGAAAGAGTTTCCGTCTACGACATATCGACTTTTTTGCGCAGGTGGGTGGTCAGATAAAACACTCCCAGACGACGAAGCAAGCGAACACGTTTTTGTAATTTAAAGTTCTTTCGCGTTCATTACGGGCCGTTCATCACCAAATTGCCGGTGAAGCTTGTGACGATTGTGTTATACGCCGCATATCTCAGTGTAGCAATATGAGGATCTCTACATCTACAGAAAGGCATTCGACTTAAAAACTTGGCCAATGATGATTCGTATGCAACCACATTCTACGATTTGGATGATGAATATTTCAAAGTTTATGGCCCGATAGTGTCATTTACCATCGACGAAGAGGTTGACTATTCCAGTAAAATCGTTCAAACCAAACTGTATGACGTAATTGAAGAACTGAAAGTGAACGATTATTTCCACAGTAGCAATTCTACTGTTCAGTTCTGGTTAACCGAGTTTCTTGTTTTTATGGAACAGAATAATATTACTTATTCGAACAAAGACCAGTTTATTCAAATTTTAAGGAGCATGTTTCTAGTTCGCCCCACCGTGTTTGACACTGACATCCAATTCAACGACGACAACACCAGTATCGTTGCATCTCGGTTTTTGATTTCCTCGTCAGATTCTAGTACAGCGAACCGTGAACGCAACATCATGGTGGAATCGCGTCGCATAGCCGACAAGTCAGACATCCAGATGTTCGCGTACCATCCCGCCTTCGTCTTTTATGAACAATACATTGCTATACTGTCCAACACTCTGCAAAACATAGGCATTGCAGCAGGCGCAATGTTCCTTGTGTCCCTTATTTTGATACCGCATCCACTGTGTTCGTTATATGTGACACTGGCAATCGCATCTATCTCACTCGGTGTAATTGGCTATATGACGCTATGGCATGTGAAACTGGACGCTGTAGCGATGATTAATATTATCATATGTATAGGTTTCAGTGTGGACTTTTCCGCTCATATCACCTATGCTTTTGTTATTGCACCACATCACTCTCGAAATAAGCGTTCAGTCCACGCTCTCTACCTTCTAGGCTGGCCCATATTAGAAGGTGCTTTGTCAACAATATTGAGTGTGTTGGCTCTATCTTTATCAGTGTCCTACATATTCCGAACTTTTTTCAAGACAATGTTTCTTGTTATTTCTATTCGTGCGCTACATGTACTCCTATTTGCCTGTTTTCTTGATATTATTAGGACCATGTAGATCGCCAGAAAAAGAGGAAGTAGGTGAAATGCATACAATTGATCCTATAAGCGGGGTAACTGAGACCAAACACGGACACCAGAATCCACTTACGGATGCCAAAATGGAAATCTGGTCGAAGGAAGTCTGCTCATCTAACAGAAGCTTGCGTCGAATTAGCTCCGAAACAATGCACACCACAACATGTGAACAATAGACATGTGGGAGTAGAACAAGGTTAGGTCATTTCTAACAGCGTGGCCGACTATCGTGAGTATCTAACTCCAGTCTGGTGCTGAATGCGATAAAGTGCAAAAATTGTTAAATTAAATCCAAATAGTTGTGTTAGTTCCAGCTTACTGATTTCCGTCCTTGAATAGAGCTTGTTCGCAAACGCTTAATTTTATGTGCAATATTAATGTTATGTACACGCAATATCCAAACAAATCATTTCCGATGCAAATATATAAACCTAGCTAGCTTGCATGCAAATATAAATCAGTATGTTTTTGTTTTGATCGTTTTAAATGAAGACGCGCGTTACATTTATACGAGCATTGAACTCAAAACACGATAATAATATGTTCAAATTAGACAGTTATGTAATGCATATTTTGAATACTTTGTACATCATATTCGTTCAAGTTGTTTTTATCGATTAAATTCCTGGAATATTAAACAGGAATGCTTCATTGAGGTCATACGTCTCGATCGTCGAGTATTTTTTCTAAATCGTATATTTTTAAATATCGCCGTTATTACGCCTTTTTTATTTATAAATTTAAAGTGCCTGAGATATGTGATACACAAACTTTCGTTTTTAGATGGGTCTTGCCCTGGTTTATGATTTAGTAGCAAATTCACGACAGCAGAATGCAAGCATCCGTTTGGACCACGCTACCCAACTCTTGGTTCTTGAATTTCGGTTCAGCTCTCCTGCAATACGTAGTTAATACATTGGAAATTTGCTAAGCCGCAGAGATAAGTGTTTCTTTTCAGAACAGTGCAGAGACGTCACATTAAGTTCACAACTACCGGTAATCGGATTAGATAGACGTACAGTTTCGTTTTTTAATGGACTAAGGCCGTAATTTCCACCGTATTATATACCAGTGCACATTTTGCTACAGACGCATTTTGGAGCCCGCTGTTTACAGAAAAATGTTAAGCGCAGACAACGGTAGACGGTAGTGCCAACACTATTCAGCGAACAGGGCCGAGTCGCAGTTCCGATAATATAATAAGGATAACATTTGAAGTGCAATGAAACCTCGGCAAAATGAAATGCCATACTCTGGCCGTGTCACACATAAACAAGGCAAGACTAGCCTTTTCAAATTGGACGCCTCGTATTCGTAGTCCAAAACACGCATTTGACAATTCAGTTTCGTATTAATCAACTCGTTATTAATCAATTTAATTTTCAACCGATTTATCGACACATTGAATTCAAGTGATGTACATTCATAGCATAATCTAACGATTTAAGTTTTTTATTCTATGCTAGTCCCCTTGGCTGGACCTGCTTGCACATTAATTGAACCCAGTATCATCGGAGTTGTCACCTCAAACGATTCAATCTGAGTGATTAGTTGTATGTGGAATGAATCAGAGTCGTCACAAACAATCGTACTCCTTCGTGCGAAATCAGTGAATACAAGCTTGTGTTCGCCGGGTGACGTCACGAATCTCTTATGCGGAGTTTCAATTCTACTTGAGTTATCAACGGTTGACAAACTGGAATAACAACCAGGCAGCCAAGAATTTTAATTTATCGGATTAAAACAAATATTTTCTGAGCAGAAACAACGTACATTTCTCAGGCACTTCAAACCGATAAAAAGTTGGTTTTTGAATAAAAAATATATCACAGTTTTTTTTTTCTTTACATGATACAATTGTTAGAAATTGATCTCCTATTTATTTACTACGTCCATGTGATGCCGATTATTTCTACGATGGATCAAATTAAAGCACGGATAATATTTATTAGTATAAACTAAACCTCCCTCAATCGTTTGAGTCATGATACAATTATCACTAGATCTAGCACAAGTTATTTTTCCGAGCTCAGTGAGTGTGTTAGCGCTGTATCATACAGGTTGTACACTACGTTTCTTAATAGCTCAAGGACCAACTTGTACGCTTTAAAGGGGTCGTCACCTGCGCATAAATTGAGTCCTAAGCGACGATATCAAAGCATGCCAAAAATCGACAAGGCTCATTGGTAGACGTCTGTTCGTAAACAAGACACGCTATGGTCGACGTCGTCTGCCGCATGCGCGGATGACGACTCCCCCGCTTTGAATTCAGTGTAAACACACTTGACAAATGTGTTTACTAATTTTGTATTTGCTATTATTAAAATTATTTAAATTTACAATGTTTTTTCTCAAATCCATCATTTTTTGTTGCCATATGTGTCTTGCTTTTGTGGGCAACCGATGACTAAATTTAAAGGCGACCATTTTTACAACGCCGCAGGGCATGACATGGAAAAAAAGGAGTGGAAATGTACAATATAATACATGCTGATAACTTAACATAAATCTACATACACGGGAATAGCGTACATAATTACAATTACAAGTGCAGCCATGTAGAGCACTCCATGGTCACATATTTCAGATTCTTGATAGTAATTGTAATTGATTCATTTGTTTATTCATATTTTCCAATACATTTTGTTAGTCAAAACAATCTTTCTCTTAGTGGGTTGCATATTTATTCTACACTGTATCGGCAGTAAAGTGGCTACAATGCAAAATGAGGTGTACAATGCCAACAATAAAATGTCGTGGCATTTTAAAAAGGAAAGGAAAAAGAAAAGTTAAATACAATGCCTATACTTGAAGAAATGTTTAAATTAAGAAATGTGTGTTTTCACTAATTACATTGTTTTCGTTTGATAACAAAATAAATCATTCTTTCTTGTATTGCTATAACACATAGTGGATGTATAATGATATGGACATTGCGCATTTTTACTCCACAATCGTACAAAAAACTTTTTTTACTCGACGATTCAATACGATTTATGAAAAGAAACAAAACAAAATAGAATTGTATTGTCCAGTACCATAAGCTACTTAATTAATACATTACAGATCATATAGGGTTCTAAATGGATAGTTATCTGAGGTTGTTTCAAGGCGCCTTTGTTTCTCTATGTTGATCAATAGTGCGATAAACTAGGTCAGCTCAGCAATACATACCTATTATGTCTGATCAGACAAGAAAGCGCTCGGTCTACATTCACTTGAGAGTAGTATCTAAATCACAGTATCGAGTATCGATTTGCCTATCAGGTGGTCTACAATAAGGCCTGCGAAGTACAATACCACTAAATGTCGATACAAGTGGTTTTCTGTAGACATGCTTTGTTATTTCAAATTATGACAACGAGTTTAATGGGCGTTGACGATAGGTTACGTCTTTAAAAGTCATGGGCAATGTTTTGCATATATTTGAAGGACGAACAACAGAAACGAGTATACTGATCATAATAGTAACAGTATTATAACTTGGATAAATTACATATGAAGTTTGTTAGAAGGTGCACAATTTCCTATAATAATTTCCATTGAACTGTATTTGTTAATCATAATATAAAACACAATTACTTTAGAGAACTTTTACAATTACACTTGTTTTTGAAAGTAAAGAGGATATTAGTTGAAAAGCCCACATACACGTGGTAGAAAAGTTGATGTTGACAAATGTTAACACTATTACCGCTCGGGTTACGATATATATTAAACTGAGTGATTCAGTAAGCAATTTATGTCTTTAGCGAACCTGTTGTATAATAATGTGACTCAATCCAGGCAACACAAAAGTTGAAGGTACCTTTTGTTGATGATGTCTATCTGATAGAACACATACATAACAATTTGTGTCTATGTACTCTTCGCCCCAAATGTTCGACCAGAACATGGCAGTTTTGAACCTCTCAGTGACCAAATCATACAAAAACATCTTTCACTCGATGATTCAATACGATTTATGAGAAAACATGTTTGCGAGATTCAAGTCTAGGAATGCTAAAAGGCTTACATAAATTGGTAGGGTATTTGAATTTCGTAGCATTCGAGTTTGGCAATTAAGGTAGAGATGCAGTTTACCTGACAGGTATTTTAATCAGTTAATTGGGAAACCAAGATGACCTCCCTTGTACACAAAACTATATATTTTTGGAAAGGTTATTGTATGAATTTTAAAACTTTGTTAGTATTTTTTTGTTATGGACACTGTAGTTTGAAATATGCACAAAAATGTGCTTTTTTGGTCAAAAGTAATTTGAAAAAAATTAGCTTCTAAACCATGCTTCTGTTTCCTGTCAAAATTGATTTATGGGTACATCTGTTTACTATGAAGAAAGTGCCGTCTTGAAAACTGTGTACCAGTTGTCAATTTTGCAAGGCAGCAGCTCAAATTTCACTACTTCAAGTTTATGCATAAATTAACACCCAGGCGTTTTGAAGATAAACACATTGTCAATCATTTGTGAAAATTTCAAAACAAAAGGTCAAAGCGTCTAGGAGCTATTTTTTTTAAAGTTCTGGGATGTGCACTAAAAAGAAGCTGAGAAAATTGCTAATTTGCATAACAATTCACTCAGTAAGAAGTTTGCTAATGCTCATAATTAAAATGGCTGTAACAGTACCAAATTTAAATGTATTATCGTTTTGTCAAAAGTTAAATATAGTGCATAATATGGAGATCCCGTCATTTCTTTTTTTCACCATGTTTCTTTTTTATTATTTATGTACAGCCTTGCTATATCTTGCTAAGCATTCACAAGAGAGAATGTTTGCACCTGTTATCTATATTTTAAAATCGTTTTTTCAGTATGTTTCACTATTCACAATTCTACAAAATTTTAACAGTCCATAGCCAAGACTGTTTGGATAATAAGAAGCAAAAAAAAAAATTCACTCCCAAGTGCCCACGAACCTGCATCTCTACCTTAAGTATTTCTATGGCGGTGAGCAGACATGAGAGCAGTACTCTAGTTACTGCGCACAATAAAAAGTACAGGGAATTTAAAAATCTAACTTTAATTATTGACTAAGCTTGGTCATAATTTTCTATGTTAGTTTAGAACTCCCGCAAAAAATTCTGTATTTAAATTGCTGACAATATTGGCTGCCCAAATACATCATGAAATACTACATGCTATGGTTCAAGTTGTGTTCAGTGCTCACATATATATAT